TGTACACTGGATGCTTCATGAGGTACTCTCACACCAACTTTCTTGATTCCACTAATGGAGGCTTAAATACAACTAATGGAGGCTTATCCAGAGGTAGTGGATTATATGTTTATTTCCTGCTGGTCTTTAGGCATCAGGTTTGGTTTTCTTGTAACTTAGCTTATTGTGTCCTTATGACTGTTACATTACAGGGAAAGTAATAATCATTGTAGTAGTTGCAGTTGTATGTTCTGTCATACTTTCGACTGTAATTGGTCTTTATATCAAGCGAAAAAGAATTGAAAAGAGAAAAGGTAAACACTTTTAGTTTCTCTAATCAACATAACTTCAACTTTAACCCAAACATATTAATCTCAATCTCTCCAGGATCAAATGGTGCCCAAAAAGTAGCAATGATGCTCCGTGATTGCAGCTTAAACTTCAAGTATTCCATACTTGAGAAAGCCACTGGGTCTTTTGATGAAGCAAACAAGCTCGGGCAAGGTGGATTTGGTTCAGTTTACAAGGTTATAGTTTATATTCTCAATTAACAACTTAACAGGAGTTACTTCTATTCACTTGTGTCTGATCATATCTAAGCTTATAGTTCATCTGCAATGCAGGGTGTTCTACCAGATGGTAGAGAGGTTGCCGTCAAAAAGCTGTTGTTCAACAACACAAAACGAGCACAAGATTTCTATAACGAAATCAACATTATTAGCAGTATTGAGCACAAAAATCTTGTCAAGTTGTTGGGGTGCAGCTTTTCTGGTCCCGAAAGCCTTCTTGTATATGAGTTGCTTCCAAATAAGAGTCTTGATCAATTCATTTTCGGTGAGTCACTATATATTACATCGGTATTAGACTATCTTGTTTTTATTCTTTTGTTAGGCCACGAGGTGTCCTGAATAGACTCTAATTATATAAAAGGTACATTTAAGCCCGTACCATACTGATACCATCTCTTTTGCTATGCTGTTATGCATTTGTTGACACTACAATCTCAATTGTTTACATTAAAATTGACAGATCCTGAAAAGGGTAAAATACTAAACTGGAATAAGAGATTCAACATCATCACAGGGATTGCAGAAGGCTTGATCTACCTCCACGAAAACTCAAGGAAACGCATTATACACAGGGATATAAAAGCCAGCAATATCCTGTTAGACTCGAAGCTCCATGCCAAGATAGCTGATTTTGGATTAGCTAGATCTTTTCAAGCGGACAAGAGCCATATAAGCACTGCTATTGCTGGAACATTGTTAGTATTACCTATTGCTATCAACCAATGACCTTTGAGCTTCTATGTAGTGGCTAACTATGTTGTTAAATGCTGAAGGGGGTATATGGCTCCAGAGTATGTGGCTCGTGGACAGCTGACAGAGAAGGCAGATGTTTACAGTTTCGGAGTACTATTGTTGGAAATTGTGGCCGGAAGACAGAATAACAAGTGCACAACTCCTGAATACTCTGGCAACTTAGTTAACATAGTAAGCCCAAAAACTTTGATATTTGGTTGTAAATAAATCTTAAAATTGATCCATAGGCCTTTCATAACTGTTCAAAGCCACAGGTTTGGGTGCATTTTCAGGAGGGGGCAGTCGAGGAACTGTTTGATCCAAATTTGTTGCTGCATAAATGTGGGAATAGCGTTAGAAGTGAGGCGTCGAGGGCGGTTCATGTAGGGCTCTTATGTACCCAAGAAATTCCATCACGGAGGCCTTATATGTCCAAGGCATTAGAGATGCTGATGAAAACGGAGGAGCATTTACCTACACCCACTAAACCGGCCTTCACATATGAGAAATCTATACAACTTTGTGAGACTGCTGGGCTTAGAGAAGGTGATGGTGCTACAAATGCTACCATTTCCCAAAGCTGTTTCTACCCCAGATGACGTTTTACTGGCATGGAATTTGACTGATCTGCTATTACTTTCAGGAGTTGACAGTAAATGCTTTACGTTTTCGTATCGAAACAGTCTGCAAATGATTCTTCTAAGAACATGCGCGTTCTCATGTGAGTTTGCCATATATATATATATATATATATATATATATATATATATATATATATATATAGTTAATACCTCCAATGGTCCTTCAAGTATTGGAGTATTACCAACTATGATCCTAAACTTTTAGACTGACCATAGAGGGAAAAGTCGTCTTTAAGTTGTTTTCTTATACTCCGTAAGAAATTTTTACACCTCTATCAAGTATCAAATTATAGTAAAGTGTTAAGATATCGTTCATTGGAGATGACTCTTGTAAGGTTAGAGAATGATGCAAAATGGAGTTAAGCACAAATTAAAACTACCATTTTAGAAGTTAGGCGGATTGTTAATAGGTTTGGTTGATAAAATTAAGCAAATGGCAAATAAGACAAGTAAAATTAAACCAAGAACCGAGACTTGTTTGATTCAAGTTAAGATGTCAAATATTGCACTAAGGATTATAGAATCAAATCAAGTTGTAGGGTAAATGAGATGCACATACATAAATATCCAAATACCATTGTCGTAGCTATTTGGACTTGCAACTTCACCTTGAACTCCACTCTCATGGCAATTCAACTCAAAATTTCCCAAACAAGAACTCAAGGCATAAATTATCCTTAACACCCAAAATGCTATCACAATGGGCATCAAGTGTGTGAATGTGTGACTAGTGTACAAGCTTTACTCTCGTAGTAACAATCACACTCCAACTAAAAGCATATAATCGGGATTCAAAAATTATACACAATTTCACATTAAACCCAATGCACACAACAAACTATAGAACACCCAAATAATCACCTTTATTTAATACAACTCAAATAGGCATCAATAGCAAGAAATCAAACCAAATCCTAGTCCTAAAACACTTAGCTACTCATAATATAATAATAGAAAACAATATTAAAGGAGTAATTGAAAACATATATGAAAAGCAAATGAAAGAGATGAATATTAAAACTTCTCTATTGAAGCTTTGAAATTCAAGATTTGCAATGCTCTTGAGCGTGGAAATGGAAATGAACAAGAAATATACTCTAATTTAAGCTATTTTAGAATTAAACCTAACTAGGGAATGAAAGGGAAATGAAAATTGTGTTTTTGGGTGGAAGAGAGTTTTCCCTTAAAACAAAGCAAAAAAATACTTTTAAATGTTGTAGAGGCTGGGCACGGGCATAGGCATGGCTACACCTGACCCCATGCCCAGTGATTGAGAATATTTCCCGGGTTTAACCTCCCTTTATGTTCTATGCCCCTATTCGATAGTCGAGCCATGATCAAGTGTTCGGGTCAAATGTCAAATAGTCAATGCGTTGGGCCTATATAAAGGCCATTTACTCTAAGTAAAAGGGGCACTTTCCTCTCTTCTCTACTCTCTCTCTCTCAAGTGTATAGCAGTCTCTACTCTCTGTAAACATTGAATAAAAGAAGCTTCATTAAACCAATTGCCGGATTCCTCTCTCCATTTCTTCATACACACCAAATACTTAGAACAATTAGTTCTATCACCCAGCAAAACATAGTTCCTTCACAGCTTGTCTGTTTTCTACGCTATTTCTCACCCTTGAAACCTTTGAATTAGACTTTATGGTCTTTACGAAAGTTGTAGAACTTTGACTTGTCTTTTCAATGCGAAATGATCACTTGATTTAGATATTTCTATGTTGAGATATGGTTAAAATATGGAGACTATGCTAATTTGGGTGAGAAATGCCACTTTGCTTTTTTTTTTTTTTTTTTTTTTTTTTTTTTTTTTTTTTTTTTTTTTTTTGCTTTAATTTGCCGTTGCATTGAATTGCCTATATCATCAAGACCACTAAGGGTCCGTTTGGAAAGTAGGAAAATGACTTCTGGAAAATGTTTTCCGGTGTTTAATTGGTTGCATTCTGGAAAATATAGGAATGGATGGAAACTGTACTGAGGAATCAAAGGCAATGACGACAGCGAATGCAACCATGTTTTGAGTGTTGGCGGAAAATGACTTAAGCCAAATTTTTGCGTAAGTCATTTTTCGCAAAAATTCCTACATTTTCCGCAAAAATGCCTACATTTTCCCTAGTCAACGAAAAATGTTTTCCGTTAACTGAATTTTCCTACTGCATCCAAACACTAAAAACTCATAAAACATTTTTCACAAGTCATTTTTCGGATTTCCAAACGGACACTAAGGCACAAATATTTGGCATATGAAAATATGTTGTTCAATCTACTTTACTTTATTTTTCCTCACAAAAATATATTCATGCTATAATGACTTGAAATTTTGATCAAATAGTTTAATATATATTTAGCTCAAAACATCATTTTCTTGTCAAGTCATCTAAGCACAAGAAATAATGTAATAAGTGATAAAAATGGCTCAATAGGATAATGATGACTAACAAGCAAAAACACTAAGAAGTGTAAGAAAGGCAAATTAAAGCAAAAGAAAGCACTTATAGTGGGTGAGTAAGTATACAAAAATATAATTCACCCACCATGTGTTTGAGAAATGCCAGTTCTATAGGTTAGTATATTTGAAAATAATATAATAATTTTTATTATAATTTGTATTTTGTTATTTTATTATGGGTGAGTAAGTATATATTTGTATGTGTTTTATTTTGAATGAGAATATTTTAATTATTTAAATGATTTTCATTTTTATATTATATGGTCTAACCAAACACAAAAATATAATTCATCGTATAATTTTATTTTTATTCACCTTAAAAACCAAACAATAAAATAATATTCGTATTATATTTCTTTTTATTAAATTTTATTCTTTGACCAAATTAAACCTCACATAAAGTCAAACAAACATATATTCCGTGGGGGCTCCAAACAATTATGACACTGCACGTTTTAAAAAAAAATTAAAATATACCATGCTGATGGTCCCTCGTGATATGAATGTGAGTTAAAAAATCATGCAAGCCCATTTGCTTCAGCTTGATTTGCATAGTGTTAAGCCTCCGATGTTGACTCAATACCCATACTTGCTTGTTCTGTGTCTCAACAAGGAAGAATTAATTAACTACATCAGATCGATCAGAACAGAAATTGCTGCAAACCCATCCGTTTCCAAAACAAGGTGATTAATCTTGAATTAGTGAATACCATACCCTGAATGATGCTTTTTTATTTGATTATATTAATTTCCTGAAAGTTAATGCTATTGAATCTGGTGTGTACTTACAAGTAAGGCTGATTGATTGTTTTCTTTAATGGAGATGAGAACAGGCTGAGAATCAATCATGAAGGAATTGAAGCCATCATTTGTTGGGTGCCTTCTTATGCTTCTTCTGCTTTTACCACATGAATCTCACTCTGATTTTGCATCTGTAATCCAACTGAATTGTAGAAACAAACTGGAACATAATACCACCAGTTATGTCCCAAGGTTAGTCGGTGTGTTTGAAAGCATTTCTAAGCAAATAAGAAATCAGGGGTGGGGACTTTTTGCAAATGGCAAAGAACCGGATGTTGTGTATGGATTAGTGCAATGCTATGGATATCTTTCCTTACAGGATTGTGTATTGTGTTATGCTGAAGCTCGCACAGTACTACCTCAGTGCTTTCCTTTCAATGGGGGAAGGCTTTATCTTGAGGGTTGTTTCATGCGAGTCGAAAATTACCCCTTCTTTCAAGAGGTATTAGGACCAGAAGACAGGCATGTTTGTGGAAACAGCACTAGAAACGATTCTGTGTTTGGAGAGACAGTTAGGAGGGCAGTGGTGCAAGCGGTTTCAAATGCGTCTACAAATACTGATTATGCAAAGGTTGAGTTGCCTGTTTCTGGGAGGAACGATGAGACTGTTTATGTTTTAGGTAATTGTTGGAAGACTCACGATAATTGCAGAGAATGTTTGGAGAATGCATCTAGGTCTTTGCTGCAATGCTTGCCTTCGTCTGAGGGTCGTGCGTTGTACACTGGATGCTTCATGAGGTACTCGGACACCAACTTTTTTGATCCTATTATCACTAATGGAGGCTTATTGAGAGGTAGGATAATTGATGTGTGCATCATAAATCAAGGCTTTTTCTACTGCATTATTGCCCTTTAGGCATCAGGTTTGGTTTTCTTGTAACTTAGCTTATTGTGTCCTTATGACTGTTATGTTACAGGGAAAGTAATAATCATTGTAGTTGCAGTTGTATGTTCTGTCATAGTTTGGACTGTAATTTGTCTTTATATCAAGCGCAAAAGAATAGACAAGAGAAAAGGTAAACAATTTTAGTTTCTCTAATCAACATAACTTCAACTTTAACCCAACAATATTAATCTAAATCTTTCCAGATCCAAATGATGCCCAAAAATTAGCAAAGATCCTTTGTGATAGCAGCTTAAACTTCAAGTATTCCATACTTGAGAAAGCCACCGGGTCTTTTGATGAAGCCAACAAGCTCGGGCAAGGTGGATTTGGTTCAGTTTACAAGGTTATAGATCATACTCTCAATTAACAACAAAACAGGAGTTACATCTATTGACTTGTGTCTGATCATATATATCTAAGCTTATAGTTGATCTACAATGCAGGGTGTTCTACCAAATGGTAGAGAGGTTGCCGTCAAAAAACTGTTGTTCAAAAGCACAAAACGAGCAGAAGATTTCTACAATGAAGTCAACATTATTAGTAGTATTGAACACAAAAATCTTGTCAAGTTGTTGGGGTGCAGCTTCTCTGGTCCCGAAAGCCTTCTTGTATATGAGTTGCATCCAAATAAGAGTCTTGACCAATTCATTTTTGGTGAGTAGCTACATGTTTCATCGGTATTAGGCTATTTCTTTCTTCTTCTTTTTTTTCTTGTTAGGCCAGGATGTGTCCTGAATAGACTCTAACTATATAGGAAGTACCTTTAAGCTGGTATAATACTTTTGCCATGCTGTTATGGATTTGTTGACACTACAATCTCGATTGTTTACATCAAAATTGACAGATCCTGAAAAGGGTAAAATACTAAGCTGGAATACGAGATTCAACATCATCACAGGAATTGCAGAAGGCTTGATCTACCTCCACGGGAACTCAAGGAAACGCATTATTCACAGAGATATAAAAGCCAGCAATATCCTATTAGACTCGAGGCTCCATGCCAAGATAGCTGATTTCGGATTAGCTAGATCTTTTCAAGCGGACAAGAGCCATATAAGCACTGCTATTGCCGGAACATTGTTAGTATTACCTATTGCTATCAACTATCAACCAATGACCTTTGAGCTTCAATGTAGTGGCTAACTATATATGTTGTTAAATGCTGAAGGGGGTATATGGCTCCGGAGTATGTGGCTCGTGGACAGCTGACAGAGAAGGCAGATGTTTACAGCTTCGGAGTACTATTGCTGGAAATTGTGGCCGGAAGACAGAATAACAAGTGCACAACTCCTGAATACTCTGCCAACTTAGTTAACATAGTAAGTCCAAAAACATTGATATTTAGTTTTAAATAAACCTTAAATTTGATCCATGAGCCTCTCATAACTGTTCAAAACCACAGGTTTGGATGCATTTTCAGGAGGGGGCAGTGGAGGAACTGTTTGATCCAAATTTGATGCTGCAAAACTGTGGGAGTAGCGTTAGAAGTGAGGCGTCGAGGGCGGTTCATGTAGGGCTGTTATGTACCCAAGAAATTCCATCGCGGAGGCCATACATGTCCAAGGCATTAGAGATGTTGATGAAAAAGGAGGAACATTTACCTACACCAACTAAACCGGCCTTCACATATGAGAAATCTATAGAAGTTTGTGAGGCTGCTACAAATGCTACCATTTCCCAGAGCTCTTTCTACCCCAGATGACGTTTTACTGGCATGAAATTGACTGATCTTGTATTACTTTCAGGAGTTGACAGAAAATGCTTTATTACATGAAGTGCGTTTACATTTTTGTATCGAAAATGTCTGCAAATGATTCTTTGGACTTGTTTAAGAGATTGGAATAGAGAAAAATGAGATATACAGGGAAATGTAATGCTCTCTACGTTGTACAGATGAAATTTCTGATCCGAGTAGTTTTAGTTTGTGCTTAACTTCACTTTGCATCAATTCTTATAACTTTTTAAGAGTCATCTCTAGTAGAACTATATCTTAACTCTATACTATGATTTGAAACTTGATAGATGTGTAAAAAATGTCCTTATCAATGTTGTTGAAACAATTAATTAGTAACAAGTAATGAATAATAGAAGTAATAACCAATAGTACGTAAACAAAGGGACTGGGTTTGGAATAGGTCAATCCCTTGCATAGTTGCATAGATGTTATATATGGGATGTCTTTAAATTAGGGATCATGCAAAGTGGATAATGTGCTACTTTAGGTTGCAATTTTCAATTTTGTCAAACTGTTATTAGAACTTAAGAGGTTGGTAGTCAAACAACATCTTCAACTCTTTAATCCTCTAGGTGTAAGGCTTGGTATAAGTGTATGAGGGTTGACCCTCAGGCCTCATCTAATATAATATTCCTTTGAGACTTCCCATAATGTAATCTTTAAGCTGATCCACTGTTATCATGCCCTCGTTTTTTTTTTTTTTCTAAAAAAAAAATTGTTTGGTTTAGGGTTTAATTTGTTGTTTGCTTTAGGAGTTCACTTTTTACTATTTATAGTATAGTATTTATTGTTTAATTTTTAAGTATAACTTGCAATACTATAAAATGTACCTAATTTGAAAGTACAATGTACTTAGAGTTTTTCTTTTATAGTTTATAGTTTAATGTTTTGGTTTGGTTTAGGGTTTAGTATTTTCAGATTTAGTTTAGGGGTTCAAGTTTTACTGTTTATATATAGTTCAAACTGTTTAATTTTGAGTTTTAAGTTCTATAATTTATCAACAAATTAAATACACTATAATTTTGTGAATTGCACTTTATAGTATTGGTAAGTACATTTTAACGATTGAATTGTTTTTTTTTAAATGCTACTGTTTTTTTTTTTTTTTTTTTTCATTCTAGCTCTTTGTTTTAAAGTTGTTAAATCTTTTGATATAAACAACTTTGCTTGATTTCTAATTTTCGTTGGATACATGTTATCATGTTAGTGTGTTTGTGCCTCTATATACATAATGAATAAAATAGCTAGGAATAATGTAATAAAACTAAATAAAAATATACTTTACCTCTAAAAATATACAATACCATCATGACTTTCTCCATGAAACCATAATTTAAAAAACCATACATCAAGCTAAGCAAGAATAAGTCAGATTCAAGTTTCAAACCATTTTAATTTTAAAGAATTGTTTTTTTTTTTTTTTTTTTTTCCATTCGTGGGTCCTAAAAAAAATCAAACTTTCAAAGTGTGGTTATATGTATTATTATTTTCAAATAAATTATATTCATGATGGATTGACCTCTAAATGACGGTCTCTCGTGATATGAATGTGATGAGGCAAACCCATTTAATTTCCTCTGACTCATTCATTCCACCTGGGCAAATTATATGGTCCACACATTAGGGGTTTGTGGATCATAACAAAAACTACATTTTTAATATACTAAATGTACATTATTTGTGTACTGAATATACATTATACAATATAATGTACACTCAGTACACAAATAATGTACATCCCCTAAATATAATTTACATTTTTAATATACTAAAAGTACATTATTGTTGTATTGAATGTATATTATTTTACACTATACAAAATATGGTCCACACAATAATGATTGCTCCACCTGCTTCAGCTTGACTTGCGTAGTGTTAAGACTCAATACCCATACTTGTTCTGTGTCTCAACAAGCTAAGGAAGAATTAGTTAATTACATCGTTCACCAGATCAGTACATAAATTTCTGCAAACCCATCCATGATCCATGTCCAAAACAAGGTGATTAATCTTGAATTAGTCAGTACCATGCTTTAATTTCTATTTCAATTCCCTGAGACCCTGAATATAATGATGCTTTCTTATTTTCATTAATTTTAGTTTCCTGAAAGTTAATGGTATTGAATCTGGTGTGTTATTAGTTTAGTAGGACTTACAAGTAAGATTAATTATTTTGTTTAGTGAAAAACAGGCTGAGAATCAAACATGAAGGAATTAAACCCATCATTTCTTGCCTGCCTTCTTATGCTTCTTCTTCTGCTTTTGCCACATCAACATGTATCTCACTCTGATTTTGCATCTGTAATCAAACTCATTTGTACAACCAATCTGGAACATAATATGACCAGTTATGTCCCAAACTTAGTCGATGTGTTTGAAAGCATTTCTAAGCAAATAACAAATCAGGGGTCAGACTTTTTGCAAATGGCTTAGGACCGGATGCTGTCTATGGATTAGCGCAATGCTATGGATATATTTCCTTACATGATTGCGTATCGTGTTATGCTGAAGCTCGCACTGTACTACCTCAGTGCTTTCCTTTCACTGGGGGAAGGGTTTATCTTGATGGTTGTTTCATGCGGGTCGAAAATTACACCTTCTTTCAAGAGGCATTAGGACCAGAGGACATGCTTGTTTGTGGAAACAGCACTAGAAAAGATTCTGTGTTTGGAGAGACAGTTAGGAGGGCAGTGGTGCAAGCGGTTTCAAATGCGTCTAACAATTCTGATTATGCAAAGGTTGAGTTGCCTGTTTCTGGGAGGAACAATGAGACTGTTTATGTTTTAGCTAATTGTTGGAAGATTATGGATAATTGCGGAGAATGTTTGGAGAATGCATCTAGGTCTTTGCTGCAATGCTTGCCTTGGTCTGAGGGTCGAGCGTTATACACTGGATGCTTCATCAGGTACTCGGACAACAACTTTCTTGATTCCACTAATGGGGGCTCAAATAGGACTAATGCTGGCTTATCGAGAGGTAGGACAATTGATCTTCATTCCACTAATGGAGGCTTAAATACAACTAATGGTGGCTTATCCAGAGGTAGGACAATTCATAAATCAAGGCTTGTTTATGTTTGTTGCTGGTCTTAGGTTTGGTTTTCTTGTAACTTTGCTTGTGTGCTTATGACTGTTACAGGGAAAGTAATACTCATTGTCGTTGCAGTAGTATGTTCTGTCATAGTTTTGATTGTAATTGGTCATTATATCAAGCGCAAAAGAATACACAACAGAAAAGGTAATTAAACACTTTAGTTTCTCTCTCCAATTAACATAACTTCAACTTCAACCCAAACTCACACAACTCAATCTCTCCAGGATCAAATGGTGCCCAAAAATTAGCAATGATGCTTCATGATAGCAGCTTAAACTTCAAGTATTCCGTACTTGAGAAAGCCACAGGGTCTTTTGATGAAGCCAACAAGCTCGGGCAAGGTGGATTTGGTTCAGTTTACAAGGTTAGATTGTGTTCATACATACTCTCAATCAACAATATTTACTTCTATTGATCGACTTGTCTCTGATGAAGTCGAAGCATATATTTTATCTGCAATGCAGGGTGTTCTATCAGATGGTAAGGAGGTTGCCGTCAAAAAACTGTTGTTCTACAGCACAAAACGAGCAGAAGACTTCTACAACGAAGTCAACATTATTAGCAGTATTGAGCACAAAAATCTTGTCAAGTTGTTGGGGTGCAGCTTCTCTGGTCCCGAAAGCCTTCTCGTATATGAGTTGCTTCCAAATAAGAGTCTTGATCACTTCATTTTGGTGAGTCGCTATATGTTACATCGGTATTAGACTCTCTTTTTCTTTTTTTTGGTTAGGCCATGAGGTAACCTGAGTAGGCTTTAACTATATAGGAGGTACCTTTAAACCCGTACCATACTGATACTATCTCTTTTGCCATGCTGTTGTGGATTTGTTGACACTACAATCTCGATTGTTTACATCAAAATTGACAGATCCTGGAAAGGGTAAAATACTAAACTGGAATACAAGATTCAACATCATCACAGGAATTGCAGAAGGCTTGATCTACCTCCACGGAAACTCAAGAAAACGCATTATTCACAGGGATATAAAAGCCAGCAATATCCTGTTAGACTCGAGGCTCCATGCCAAAATAGCTGATTTTGGATTAGCTAGATCTTTTCAAGCAGACAAGAGCCATATAAGCACCGCTATTGCTGGAACACTGTTAGTATATCAACCAAATTCTCAAATGACCTTTGAGCGTCTATGTAGTAGCTAATTCTCCTGTTAAATGCTGAAGGGGGTATATGGCTCCGGAGTATGTGGCTCGTGGACAGCTGACAGAGAAGGCAGATGTTTACAGCTTCGGAGTACTATTGCTGGAAATTGTGGCCGGAAGACAGAATAACAAGTGCACAACTCCTGAATACTCTGCCAACTTAGTTAACATAGTAAGTCCAAAAACATTGATATTTGGTTTTAAATAAACCTTAAATTTGATCCATGAGCCTTTCATAACTGTTGAAAACCACAGGTTTGGGTGCATTTTCAGGAGGGGGCAGTGGAGGAACTGTTTGATCCAAATTTGATGCTGCATAACTGTGGGAATAGCGTTAGAAGTGAGGCGTCGAGGGCGGCTCTTATGTACCCAAGAAATTCCATCACGGAGGCCATACATGTCCAAGGCATTAGAGATGCTGGTGAAAAAGGAGGAACATTTACCTACACCCACTAAACCGGCCTTCACATATGAGAAATCTATAGAACTTTGTGAGGCTGCTGGGCTTAGAGAAGGTGATGGTGCTACAAATGCAACCATTTCCCAGAGCTCTTTCTATCCCCGATGACGATTTATTGGCATGAAATTGACTGAGTTGACAGCAAATGCTCTATTACATGAAGTGCATTTACATTTTTGTATAGAAAATGTCTTCAAATGATTCTTTGGAGTTGTTTAAGAGATTGTAATAGAGAAAAATGAGATATACAGGGAAATGTAATGCTTTGTATGTACCCTGTACAGATGAAGTTTCCGATAGATATTGTTATATACAGATGCTGCATATATGTCAACACTGTTGTGAGAATTCTTTGACAGAAGGTAAGATTCAATACT